AACTTAGTGTAATGTATTTGCTATTTTTTTTCCCCCTCACAATGTGATGATAAGCAGAGGACAAGTAGTGGGTGAATTTATATAAATAAAAATTTTTGTTATAAATTATTAAGGGGAGTATCAAAAAAAGGTTGAGAATATTATTGTACAACATAGATACTTAAGCTACTAAATGATGCCATAAATTATTAAGGGGAGTATCAAAGGAAGAGACATGTCATGTGGTCAATAAAATTCAATGCCTACCATTTAAAAATTAGATTAAGTACATACAATTTTTTTCTGAAACCAAGTACATACAATTTCATTGACAAGAATTAATGTAATCAGATTAAGAATTCAAAAATTTGATTATCTTTATAAAGGGTAGTAAACACCTAAATGACCTAAACGGTTTAACGAAGTCTTCATTTATAAGGCCCAATAGGCTTTTAGATGGTTTTGCTTAGTTAATTTTTTACGTTATATTTTCTCTCAGTTAATTTATAAGGCCCAATAGGCCCAGAAGATGTGGGCCTTAGGACAAGGCTACCGACTACTGCCTTCACGTATCTGATGCTGGGCCTGCTCATTTTTCCCATCTTGGTAGTAAATCACGGAGTACAATATTGTCCTTAAAAACATGGTTAAGGGTGAGCTTTTTTTAGGTGATACAATTGCTACTCCCTTCGTTTTTAAATATTTGCTCCACTTTTCATTTTCAGCCGTTTTTAAATACTTGCTCCATTTTCTTATTTGGAAAGCTTTTACAAATATTTAATTTATTTCTCTCAATTATTGGACCCAACATAAATCATATTTTATTAATTTCATATTCTCCCTCCTCCAATTCTCTCAACTACTTTTGCTTTTTACAATTTTTTATTCTTTCACTTATCCCACTACCTTCATATTTTATTACTTTTTCCAATTTCTCCTAAAACTCCGCGCATGGAGAAATGCTGCAAGTATTTAAAAATGGAGGGAGTATAAATCTCTCGCCTATCCTCTCCTCCTCTCTCCTAGGGTTTCTCCAAAATCTTCTCCAAAATCTTGGCCGTGTAGGCCGAAAATAGTCTAATTTCCGAAGAAATTACACTATTTTCGGCCTTTTCCCTTAATTTTCTTTAGTTTTGCGATTTAGGTTTCAATAAATCTACACGAGTAGTGTAGATATTCGTCCGTCTCGCTATGGTGGAGTGTCTCCCTATGGTGGAGTCTTTAGTTTTTGTTAATTTAGCTGTTTGTTTATGTTTAGGGTTTGTTTGTGTGTTAGGGTTTACCTAAAAGGTAATCATCATTTGCCCTATTGTTAGTTCGTTGGTAAAGATTTACTCGGGATCGCATTGGTTGTCAAGTTTTCAAATGCGTTCAAGCGAATCAGATGAAAATCATCCTTACGGCTACAAGAAATCGTTAGATCGTCTCTCCGAAAAGGTTGTATATTCCAGCGATGTGTGCGAGAGATGTGTACCATAGTGCAAGATATTTTCAACGATCGTAGATTTGATGAAGGAACTCCTAATTTGATTCAATTTTATGTATTTGTTAATGTAGATTCTATTTGTAGATGCCGTATGGATTTTTATTAATGAATTGATTTGTTTCAAAAAAAAAAAAAAAAAAGTGAGAGGTGTGTGAAATTGTGAACAGTGCAAAAAGTCAAAATGATGCAAATGATCGAAGTAGAGCAAGTATTAACCAAGGACGGGGAATATCTAGTACTGGTGATAATTTTTGGAACAAAATCCAAAATTTTGGAGCAAGAAATGGTCAAACGTTTTAAGTTTCAATAGCGAGACCTGCTCAAACTATGTTTTACGAAGTATATAAAAAATGGGTATCTAATTTTAAAACTAATCCCGTTGAATATGTAGTGGATAATGGGGTCAAAAAATTGAAAATCATCCGAGCTGAAACTTTCATAAATGGGCCTAAAATCTTGAGTACGAAATAGATCCCAGCGATATTGATTCCGAATATAGACGCGACAATTCTTTACCAATTCTAGCTAGGACAGGCACCCAATATATCTCCACCCTAAGTAACAATCCTAAAAATACTGCAGTAGAATTATTCATTGTATCATCTAAACAACTTTAGCTTGGTCAAAGATATCAAATTCCAAAGTATGTATTTCACATAAAGCTTTTAGTTAAGAAAAGTTGGAAAGAAGAAAGCATCACAACTTTAGAAGTTCCAACGACTTTATGGTTTGTAAGAAAACATGAGTTTGATCATTAAGTCATCAAGCTATTCCACTTTTAGTGTGAGTAAATCTTTTGGAAGGGAATCTAATTGGGCTGTTGGTTAAAAGTTGTACAAACAACTCAAAACTGATTGGCCTGATATGTTATGTTATGTTATGTGTCACAAAACATCATCGGTCCCATGTGGATGTATAGCATCATAATCAATAATAATAGATTCATAGCAGTAGCTTTAGTACTTATGATCCAGTCATGACTAGTCATCTTGAATTCATGACTAGTCATCATGAACAAATTATTAACTCATCATCTTTAAGTCTTGTTTCATCATCGATTTTAAACATGATATAACACTCTAACTCAACAGCCTACTACTGCTAGGGATGACTGTAGTCAACCTGTTAAGCTGTGATTAATCACTTCTGTCCAAAACCCGATCTAAACCAAACTTGAACCAAACTTATTGTCTAGACTTTATACACCTATTGAAAGACATGTTGTTTCGGCAAAAAATGAGCTAACCGGGCCTTGGAGGGGTATCTGAGAACCTCGAATTTGGGCCTTGAATGGACCTGCAAAATGAACCCCGAGCCCCGGGGGTTGAACCCGGGGCGGAGCCTCCGACGCCCAAGTTAGTTGCCAAACAATGCATATTTTGAGAGGAGTTTAGAGGAGAGAGTGGAGGAGTATGGTCATCTTAGATGATAAGAGTGACCCCCCTTTCCCTTATGCCCTTTGAGGGGTATTTATATGAGTACATAAGTGGGTTTATGAGCCCTAAAATTACATGTGTGGGCCGTTGAAGGCCATATTGATGTATTTGACTTATTTGGGGCCTTTTATACCTTTTTTATGCCCTTTGGGCTTATATGGGTAGAGTTACCCAAGACTAAAATGGGTATGACCATTTTAGTACCCAAACACATGTTATGGTTCCAAACCAACAATTGTATGACCCAAGAAGACACCTCACACAGTCACTTCCGATTTTGGATAAAAAATTCAAAAATCTGCCCGTAAGCGTGTATTATAGCTTTCAGTTTTGAATAATTTTTGACTATTTTGGACTCAAAAGGAAATAGGTCAGGGTGTTTCCCACGAATTTCACAACACCCCAATAGCCTATTTAGGTGGTTACAACCGTCTGTTTTACCCTCAACCAATTTAGTCGTTTACAGCTAACATCTCCTCAATAAACTCAAGGCCACCACGAGACTATATATGACTGACTAATGGTAGTATATGGTTCCAAATAATACTATATAACCCCGGAATACATCCCTTATAATTTTGTGTGTTTTAGACATGGGATCATGAAATCTCCGAAATTGGTCCCATTTTTGTATATAACTTTAAATTTTTACAAGTTTTTTACCTTTTCAAATCCGAAAAGAAAAAAGGTCGGAGTGGTTTCCATGCATGAACCCATGAACTCCGAGAGGCCATTTAGGTTGTTAGAACCAACCACGTTGCCTTTAAACTATCAATTTAGTTGTTTACAGCTTAAGCGTGCCTCAACTCCCTCCATTATATTAACTCAAGGTCGCCAGGAGTCTGTATGTGACCGATTACTTGTTGTGTATGGTTCCAAACAATATTACATGACCCCAGATTGCATCCCCTACCATTTCGAGAGTTTTCAATAGGATCCCCAAATCTTCAAAATTGGTCCAAAAGCATGAAATATAACCTTTAGTTTCGCACAAACTTTAACTTTTCTAGACTTGAAAAGGAAACAAGTAGGGGCACTTTTTATGGACCCCATGACATCCCGGGAGCCTGTTTGGATGGTTGGAACCATCCAGTTTCCCTTTAAACTTTCAAATCAACCGTCTATGTATACACTCCTTTTATTAACTCAAAGTTGCATGCACATGCCTTTATGGCCTTATGTAACCAACTAATGGCCGTATGTGGTTTCAAATAACATTATATGCTCACCTATGATGCATTCCCTACAATCCCGATATTTTAATATATGTTTGACTCGATTTTGAAACACTTGACTTGAAACTGACCTACTTGATATGTTTAGTGGGTCTAATTGCATGTGATTAATTATTGGGCCAATTTATCACATTGTGGTGTATAATAAAGAAGTTCAAATGTTCTAATTAGAAAGATGGCAATTAGCCAAATTTAAACACTAAACCACAAGATTTAAAGCCAAATAAGTTAGTTGACATATACATATTTAAATTCGTGATATGATAGTAAGTACCTAACCAAAAGTAGCACCCCTACAACACCCTTTAACTTCATTCATATCCCTCACTTCCACCTCTATAATTTTCTAATCTCACTTTGTAACATAATAAAATCCCTAAATTCACAAAATTAATACCTTAATTAACTAACAATACATCTAATATCTTTACTACCTGAACCCATTAAATTTTATGCCAAACATTTCAAGAATTGAAAACTATATTCAAGGTACTCGATTTCAGAACAAAAATTCTCTCAGCTGGAATGAAGATCGAAGTTATTGTACTCTTCTACTTTATGTTACTAAACATTTGAGATTTTTCATTCACATTTACCATAAACATGAGTCAGGTAATTAACATATAAAAAGTCTATAAAATTTATCAAAACTAAAAGCCTATCAACTAAAACGATCACCCTTTCTCATGCGCATCATCATACAGCCTCAGCATCAACTTCAGTCGCCTATCTACTGATGGAATTTTGGTAGTCAGCTAGCAAAACCAATGACGATCTTAATCAACTCGCTTAAACAAAGCTTCATATATATGAGCTTTGAGTTCTTTAAGATGGGAGGCAAATTTGTCTTTTTTTTTTTTTTTTTTTTTTAAACAAAACCTAATTCCTGCAGTACATAAGTGAAAGAGCGTAAGAAGGTTTAATTATGGGGTACCATATAAAAATCTAAAATATACGTAGTATAAGTTAATTTGTCACAGATAATCTTAAGAACAAAAGGCCATAAAATTTTAATCCTCTTTTATTTAGATAATGCAAAGCTAACAAGTCAAGTAATTAGAAAATTACTTGTATATATTTATTAGCATGACGATATTTAAAATAATATATGAACTTACAATAATTCATTATAATGCATAGTTGTACTCCGTACACATAATAAACAATAACCCCCAAAATTAATTCACAATTAATCACTGTAAATCATCATAAATTATTGTTTTTAGTGTAGAAAAAAAGGTTAATAAGACAATAATGTTTATTTGGAGTCTTGCTCCCATAGGTACCATATGACAAGCTTCAAATTTTTTTTTAAAAAAAATGTAATGTATGACCAATGTCGAGTTAAACAGTAAAAAAATGAGGAAAATAGTTAATTTTAATTTATTTGTATTTAAAACAGTAAAAACTGTTAGCTCATAATTGGTCTGATAATAATATCTAAGAGGACAAAAATAGATCTAATAGACTACAATATCGATAAATCATGCCATCAATCTCAATGAATTATGGAAGGAAAAGTGGATGTTCAAATCCTATTCAGCAGGTCCATATTAGATGTTACATGTTCCCTTGAGCATCTTTTTACTCATTCGTGTAATTTATACTTTATTCTAAGGTTGATTCCTGTTAACCTTTCACCAACATTGCAATTGTATTAACCAAATAAAGCGCAACATTCATTCTTTTTCTTAAAACATGTAGGAATTTATTGATCTCTTATGTATACTACATACACATGTACACTCTCATTGGGTGTGTTCCGGATTCACAATCAATCTTTAGTTTGTGAAATCGAGTTTCCTAAAGCTGTATGATTTACGTAGAACGTTGTATTTATTGAATTTAGCTAGAAAATAGTCATGCACATACATATAAACTAGACATAATATTACATCATGTTGAAATTAATTTTCTTGTTTTCATAAAATACTTATTACGTTGTTAAATAAAAATACTAGTATATGAAGAATTAAGTAAAAAATTTCAATGATAATGGATGTCAAAAGGCTAATTTAAGAGCTTAAGAATTCATCTTTTGTAATTTTCTAAGTTTTTATAGCTTAATTACGAAGAGCAACAATATAATTAAATAGTAATCATATTACGTAATATGTAAAGACTAAAGAGGGGGCATGCAATGTTCATCAACTTTATTCCTAACTCTAATAGGCCACATTAATAAAATCTCATTTTAAATCGCCCAAATTTGATGGATTAGCCATAAAATTTACTCTCTAACTCTAATAGGCCACATTAATAAAATCTCATTTTAAATTTTCCAAATTTGATAGATTAGCCATAAAATTTACTCCATAGTAAGTTTTCGACTATATTCACTAATCAATAAACATTGATTAAGCATTTTTTTATTATTTTTTTTACGGTAAATAATTACTAGATGCTTAAGTATATATTTTAATCATTCAAAAATTAAAATTACCAGCTCTATGATCATTATGTAAATTTTTTTAATTATGAAGAACATTGTGGTGTTTTGACTCAATTGCTTAGTATAATGTAGCTTAAGTTTACATTTAAATGTTCATCTAAAGTTGGTTAATATACATGTTTAGTATTCAAACAGTATATGTTTAATAAATTTTAAATTCTCACAAATTTGAATAATGTCGATAATCATAGATATTTACAAAACAAAAATGGGGCAATTGGGCAAAATAATTCAATTAATGGAGCAAAATACATTCACATGCGTGGCACCCACAAAGGAATTTTTAAAAATTTAAAATTTAATTTTTGAGTAACACAAAAATCTTGTATATGATCAATAATATTCCATGACCCGTGACTCTACCCAAAAAATCACACCAGAAAGTTTTAAAAATAAAAAACAAAGAGAATAAAAATAAAGGAACTCAAACAAACCAACAAAACCAAGGGACAAAAACACAAGAGAAAAAACAAACAAATCTATAGCCCACACCTCTTCCTCCTCCTCCTCCCCAAAAAAAAGCAGTGACCACCCCCTTTGGACCGTCATCATCACATAATTATTATTCATAGTTAAATTACACTCTATAATTTTTCACGCACCCAAACAAAATTTAAAAATTATATCTACCGACTCTAGGTACTTCAGCAAAAATAAATCATCAAGTTAACAATGTAATCAAAATCATGAATTATCCTATGTATTACGGAGTAATAAAATGTAACAAATTTTTTACGTACCTGTACTTGACTTCTGATGTAAAAAAAAACCCTTTTTTTTCCTTCGATTTGCCAAATTGACTAGAAATTATTTCCACCACCACCACCAAAAGCTTGGCTACTTGAAGGAGCAGTATTATTCACATTACTATTATTATTTGCTGCTGCAGCATTATTATTATTATTATTATTGTTATTATTTCTTTGATGATCAGCAGTTGTAACGTTTTCTAAGGATGCCATGCCTTGCGAATTTGTAGGAAATCCTCCTCCATTACCACTCATGCTTCTCACTATCTCTCCTACACCAAGAAAATCCCTTGTAAGCCTGTCCGATGATCCGACACCGAGCCCGGTTTTATTCGGATTGAACCCGCCATAGTTACCATTATGATCACTAGTTGCTCCAGTCTGGTGATCACCTCCAAAGAAAGGGTTGTTCATTAGGTTATCCCTCATGAGTAGGTCATGGAGGTTATTTTGGTCATTTTCTCCGAATAGTCCTCCAAACCCGCCACCCCCGGCGCTTGTTGGGGGTGGTGGTGGTGCGGATTGTTGCGGTGTTGGTTTCGCTTCTAGTCCCTTTAGTAGGGCAGTTGCACTAGCATTGCTGGTGGAAGTTGTGGACCCCATTTGGGCAGCCTTCTGGAGGAGGGCGGTAGCGGACATGTGGGGGCTACCGCCTTGGAGGCCGGGTCCTGTGGTGTAAAGGGAAGAGAGGCCGCCAGAAGAAGGCCCGCCGAAGAGGGTACCGCCACCCGAAGAAGAGAACATCCCATTGTGGTCCCCACTGCCAGTGGTGCTACTAGTGTTGATGGTGTTGGTGTTCTCATTGTTGTTATTGTTGGAGAAAAACCCTAAGTCGGGCACGGGCATCTGCCCGGTGAATAGCTTGTTGGAGAAGATTCCACCACCAGCATTTTGGGATTGATTTTCTTGATCATTATTGTTACTATTAGCATAATGGTTGGGCCCACCAGTTTGGTCAGACAAGTAAAAGTTGCCCTGATGAGATTGCTGCATTTGTGGCCGGAAAGAGCCCGGCCCGAGGAGGTGGTCAAACTGCCCGGTCCCAACACCTCGGGCCCCACCGCCAAGGCGGAGGATGTCAGAGGTCATTTGATCGGAAAGCGAAGCCGGAAGATGGTTGGCCACTTGATGAGAAAGTCCAACTCCTAATCCCATGTTATTGTTACCAGCATTACCACCACCAACCGCAGAAGTAGGTCCGAATAAGTGGCTTCCTAGGGTGGATAGGCTACTTGGATGTCTTGCACTCTCCTGAGCTAGTGCATCACAAAACGCCCTGTGAGTTATGAAGCTGTCCCGTCTGTAACAATAAAAATTAATCATGAGTATTAAACACAATACAATTACACTTACTGTGACACGTACTAGAATACCAATTCAAAAATCTGTCTACATTTAGTAGTCACATTATATTATAGCAATAATTGGCGATAAAAGGAGTAAATTATTTTAGTCATATATACAAGTGTTGCAGCTTTTATATATCCAAGTTAAAGCATCAAATATAGTTGTACAAATAGCATACTACGGAGTAGGAGTAGTAGTAGTAGTACTATAGCTAAGTATGACATATCATAACATGTGACTATATATAGTACATGTTTGTCATGAACGGTGTCATCGAATGAGAGTACCTAGGTTCCCCTTTAGATTGACTTATTTTGTGACCGCTAGCTTGTTTTCAGATTCCAAATCTTAGCTTTTAGAGTTTTTGGTGGAGAGTCCAGTGTAACAGAATTTGATGGCTAGTCAAATTGTATCACCAAAATAATTTCAACATATACTCCAATAATTTGTACTCCGTAATATATATAATGTAAGCTATTAACTCCGTTTCAAATATTTTACAATGATTAGACATTTTCTACTCATACTTTATGTCAAATTGTAGCAAATAATTTGAAACGGATGTAGTATATTAATTATAATGTAATCACATTTATATTAAGGTATGTAATTAGCCTTGACTTAAACATACAATTCGTTCGATCTGTTATCTAATCACTTAATGAGCTTATTTTCATTTATTGTTTTAATTTAGTACTACAAGTGAACTATATAGTCTTCAATGCATTTGTTAACATTTTCAAAAGATTTAACCTTAAGATACAATTTTGGAGGGGTAATTTCTAATAAATTGTCCAATAATTCAAGCTATAAAATTTAATTCTTGTATTAATTAAAAGAAATAATGTTGCTAGTCAATAAGTGAGTTTATGCATTAATTATGTTGTTTATAAATCATATGGTATTGTTAATTGCCAAATAAAAATTACTAGTACAGAGTATATATTAATCTTAACAATTCATCAATTACTCTATGTATCATTTTATGTAAATTTTGTAATTTGATAGTCTTTAAAATGTGTTCTCATACATTTTCTTAATCTTAATTCAAATTAAATTACAAGTGTATCTCAAAAATTTCAATGATGTTACAAAAAATGTTCAACATTAAATGTGTTCTAACGTGAAAAATCACACTTTTAGCAAAATGACTAATATTATAGTGTGAAAGTGTTTAATACCTTGAGATTTTCTAGCGTACTTTATTACCAAAAATATGGATTTTCTAAGTACTTTTTTTTAACCAAATTACAATAGGCACTCACTTTACAGTTTCATGAAATTTCAAAATAAGAAGCAAATTAAAATTGGACACTTAAGTAATTAATAAAAAAAAAAAAAAAAAAACATCAAGTACAAAATGGAGGACATAAAATGACCTAACAACACAGTTTTGCTCAGAGTACTTGAAAGAGGGGGGAAATCAGTGCAATAAATTCAAGTAAGATGAATAGCAACAGAGTTTATAATCAATCAACAAAAGATTACCATATTATGGACTGACCCTCCAATAAATGCAAGTAGAGAATATTTTCAATATAGTGAAAGAAAATCAATCAAAGAGGAGAACGTATGTAGTCCCTCCATCCTAAGACCATAAATAATAAATGTATTTCAGTATTGTTTTCATCAGTCCAACCTCCCTATACAACTACGTTACTACTATAGCTAGTAAGACTGACGATCATCAAGTGACGACCTCTCTATTACACATACAAATTCACGTTCAAACACGATATCACATATAAAATTACAAGTAATAATACAAGTTAATGTAGTTAAAGTGTCGATATCAAAATAACAAATACAAGATACGTTACCTTCTAAAAGTGTCAGTGATACCTATCCATCTATCTAGTTTAGCGAGACTATGTATACGTACGTGTTGAGAATAAAAATCATACGTGAAACTCGTAAAGTGTCTATTTTACTACAATAAGCGTCATTCTATCTAAAAATGTAGCAGAATTATATGAAGAGGAGAGAGAAAAAAAAAGGAATTGAAGATGGTAACGTTATCATGAAAAGGGGGTACCTGCAGGGGTGAAGTGATCACATCTAGCCAACCCATAACGCAACAAACTCAGTAACCAACTAACCCCTTCAATTCTTTCTTTCTCTTTGCAACACGTGAATAGGGATCAAACGACGACTACTATTAGGGCAGTGGCGCACTTTTCGAGGCGGCGTCAGTATAATTATACTACTATTATTATTATAAAGTATATACTCCTAGCTTTACAACTTTTTAAATAAGTTTGGTTTTAACCTTTTGCACACATTTTAACATGTTCGACTTTTATACAGTTGAAATATATTGGAGTATTTGAACATATAGTTAACATAAAAGTTTATTATCTTATGATGTAAAAATGACATTTAATTTAAATTAGACCAAAAAATAATCGAGAAAAGGATCCGAGGGAGTAAATATGTATGGAGCAAGTCCAAGGAAATAAAAGCAGAATCCGTTTTGATAAACCCAAAGAAATAAAATTAGAATCTGTTCGAACAAAATTACATTACAGAAATAAAAGCAGAATCCGTTTAAAAATACGGCCCATAGAAATAAAAGCAGAGTCCACTCGGATACACTCACTGACTCACATGTTTAATCTCTAGTAATAACGAGTTATTACTCTTGTGATTTCATTAAATGTATCGTAAATGATTTTGTAACGGACGTTAGTTTTCTGTCATGGCCCAACGTGATTCATTTTAATTTTCTTTTAATTTACATTGTTTTATTAATACTTAATGTACCAATTTCTTCCATTGTTTAATTTTTGCAATAATTAAATTCAAAATTTAGCACACCCCAACTCACAGATAATTAAAGCATTAAGAGCATCGCTAATAGATAAACAAAAAAAAAAAAGCTAATACCCGAAGAAATAAAAGTAGCATCCGTTTGGATACACCCCATAGAAATAAAAGTAGCATCCGTTGGGATACTCTCACATGTTTAATCTTTTGTAATAATGTAATTACTAGTGTAACATCATTAAATGTATTGTAAATGATTTTGTAACATATGTTTGTTGTGACGATCCAATAATGCAATGAGATTCATATTTATTTTGCTTTACTTTACATTATTGTTTAATACTTAATTACTTTAATACTTTTGTTAATTTATTATTACAATAATAATAGAAAAGTTTTATACATCTCAAAACACAAATTAAACCGTTCATACCTTCAATTACAAATATATAATGAATTTAAGAATGTGATATTTTGAAAATACATATTAATTCTAATTCTTACAAGACCTCACAATAAAAACTCAATCGTTGCGATAATAAAACAACAGAAAAAAGAAAAACAAAAAGCTAGCCATGACTAGTAGCTATTACATGGCATAGTGGTTTCAGAAAAACGACTCGTGTATGGATTCACGTGGTGGCGTTTTCTTCTTATATTTTCTTTCATCTTCCTTTTCTGTTAGTACTTGTATGTAAATTTTTACTTTAAAACAGCTTGACCCAGAATTTCAGTGAAAAATAAAAGAAGAGAGAGAAAAAAAAAATAACAAGAACAACAACAGCACATCATCAGCAGCCATTTTTATTTTCTGAAGAAAACTACAACAAACTCATATATTGTCAAATAAGTACCTGCATTTTCTTTGCTTTTTTCACTTAATCCATAGTATTTTTTCTAATTTTAACCCAAAAACAAAAACACACACCAACAAAAACAATATGCTAATGCACTGAATTTCATAACTCGTATATACTCTCAACAACACGCACTCAAATAATACCAAAACAACAACATACAATCACATTTATAAACCATAGTATAGCATAACTTTTATATATCTGGCCTAAATAAAATTAAATAGAATTGTACGAATTAAGTCACATTTCACTCCGAAGTCAAAATTAGTCAACCTTAAGCATTAATTATTATTTTTTTTTTTTTTTTGGAGATTTTAATAAATGGTCATATCGTAGTAAAAAAAAATGTGAAAAACACGGAAAAAAGGATGGTAAAAAGAAAAATCGTACCGAGAGAATAGAGTGCCGCAATCACAACGATACTCACGAGTACCACAAGTTTTAGAGTGAGCCTTCCAATCAGACTGAACAGCGTAACGCTTGCTACATTTCTCACACTTGAACTTCTTCTCGCCATGCTTGCGCGAGTAATGCTTCTTAATTCCGGTGAGATCACCGAGGGCACGAGCCGGGTCATGGTGCACACAAGTGGGTTCAGGGCACAAGTACACTTTCTTCCTCACTTGATCTTTGTTAGTCTTTTGTCTAAGCTTCCACGGTAAATTGTGTCCTCTCCTATGAAGCTGTAGATTTTGCTCTCTTTGAAATCCTTTGTTGCATACTTCGCAAATGAAACGATTCGTTGCCATCAACGTCTTCGGCGACAAGGCTATCACCTCCGCATCCGGATCTGATCATCATAATCACAATTATTATTATTATCGTAATCAATAATCCTCAAAGCTTTAATTAATTAATCGCTCAAAACTTTACAATAAATGAATTCACTTTTAGAGAAGACGGGAGTACAATAATTCATAAAATTAATTCTTACCATTAATTATCTTTTTTGTGCGTGTAATGACTCGTCTAAAAAAAAGATAGAAACGATCCAAAATAATAAAAACACAAAATTTAATTCATTGAGATTTATTATTTTCATTGTCAACACAAAATAACATACAATAAGTACAACAAGATAAATAAATGTTGTATATATGTGTATATGTATGTATATATATAAGTTCGTGTATAGTATAGTAGCAGATAAAGTCTATTCAGAAATGAACAAAAGAGAGAAGAAAAATCCATGTTCAATTTTTTTTTTCTCACATCTTCTTTGTCATGAAGCTTCCACAAATTAGGGTTTTCTTTTCGAAAAAAATCTTTCCTTAAAAAAATAAATTAAAAAAAAGTAATAGACAAAAACCACTTGAAGACATATATAACTAAAAATAGAGAGGAGAAAAAAATAGGGAGCAAATAATAATTCATAAAATTATATTTGGGGGTTTTAGGAGCTAACACTTGCTTGGTGTTCCAGGAAGGCTTCTCTTCTTCTTTTGTTGTGGATTAGCGGGTGGTGCTGCTGATGACGAAGGCGGAGGCGGCACGGCTGCTGAAGAATGCTGATTTTGCAAAACTTGTGGTGGTGGTGGAGGTGGTGGTTGCGAGGGTTGATGCTGATGATGTACGTGCTTCATCGCATCGGCCTCTCTACTTCCGAAGAAGGCCGAAGAGGATGAAGATGCCGCCATTTGTAAAGATTATTATTTTTTTTATTTTTTATAATAGTGGTTTTGGTTATGGTTTTTGGATGGAGTAGCTCTATATCTAGTGTTTGTATGAACTTGTTGAAGAGAGAATCCAATATATAATCTATTTGAGAGAGAGAAAGAGAAGGGAGAAAAAAAGAAGGGGAAGGATGAATTAAATCCTATCCACCCCACATGCAAATTTTACAATTTTAATTTGAGAATTCTAACCGATATCAAAATAATCCCTAAAATGCGCGATTTTAAAATTAATAGAGGTTAATTAATGAGGAACCCTAAAAAGAGAAATGGGATTTGTGTGTTTTGTGTATGAGAGAGTAGATGAGAGGGAAATGGATAGATTTTTTTTTTTTTTTTTTTTTTTTTTTTTTTTTTTAAGTGACAAAGAGAGAGAAAAGAAAAGGAGAGGAGAGAGAAAGAGAAGAGAATTTGAAATTTTATGAAAAATAAGGGAGATACAATAAGATGCAGAGAGGAAGAGAGAGAATCAACCCATGAAATGAAATAGTGTTTTTTTTTTTTTTAAATAATTGAAATAAAAAAGGTTTTTATATCTTATATTTGATTTTTTTTTGGCTAGCTAACCATTCCACTTGCTTTTAAATTGCTGGAATTTTCCTTTCGATAATGAAATTGGTGGATATTTTGATTTTTGGATTGGAGATTAAAAAGAAAAAAAGATGTCACTGTTAGTGATATAAGTACAAATAATTGATAATTTGTCAAATATGAATTGAAATTTTTGTGAGCTAGTTTCATAATTTTAATTATGTGGACTTTTTCTAGTGAAATTGAGAATATGAAATCATATTAGTATAGTAAGTTTAATTATGCACAAATTATTATGTATTATAATTGAGTCGATCGATCATCTAATATAAGATGGTAAGTAATGATATGAATAAAAAAAAAGAAGATATTGACATTGATATTAACTTTAATATCGTACATGATGGTTAGCGCAATTATTATATGAGATAATAACACATAAACAGTTCTTACATGTTCCAATAAAACAACTACTATATCTAGCACTCTAGCTCCTACTAATACATCACATTATTTTTTTTTTTTTCAAGGTCGTCTGTGAACCGTTTTGCTAACATTTGTTTAGAGGTGTCAATTTTTGAGGTGATTCTGTAAGAGGGTCAACGAATCAATAATGATAATTTGTAAACACGTGTCACTAAACTTTTTATTACCCTTAATTAAGAAAAGTTAAGCCACCCTTATATTAATCACCCTCTCTATATATATACCATAACTTAGGCATAATCCAAATAAATATAATTAACTTGGTAAATTACACTACTAAAATTGTACTTCCATCGTTATATATATTTTGCAACATTTGCCATATATAAGGAAACATTGATCTCAAATATTGCAACCTTCCACAAAATAGAAAAAATAACTACGTTAAAAACTCATACAATAGTAGACTTATAAAAAAATTTAAATTTGACAAGTTTAATTAAGTTAATTCCTCTCTATAAAATTCAATTCAAATTCATTAAGTTCAAAATAACAAAGCCTGGCCTAGCTTTAGTCATCCCAAATACATGATACAAAGTTATTTTTAATTTATTTGATTTAAGATTAATTAATGAGCTTGTTTGTATACAACATCTACATATTCTAAAATATAACTATGCATTAATGAATGAGATATATTTCCTAAAATAAGAGACAACAACTAATTAATTGATGAGTTACATGCATTAAATTTAAAAAATAAAAATAAGAGAGAAATAAAAAGGATGGGAAATGTGATGAGGGGTGTTGGATGCTCTCCTTGTTCACGCACCAAAGAGTGTCGTTACGTGGGGTAAGTGGGGTCCACATTGCTGAAGGGCAAAGGGCAGCTTCACTCCCTCCCAAACACTTCCCGACAACTTCTTCTTACATCATCTCATTACTACTACTCTCTTGCTTTGCTATCTAGGCTTAAATTTTTACTACTTTTACCTTCTAATTTTACTCTTATTTTTGTTTTAACTTACTTTTGTCTTTGAATAGAATTGTTTCCCAATCTTGGGGGTTTTATGCTTATTTACATCATATCATAGTACATTTAACTACTTTTGCATTCACTTTAATTTTTTTACAAAGAAAATCAATTTTTTTAGGTACTTAAAATTTAAGTTTGTTGCGTTGAACTAACTACTTCATTTCGGTACGTATTTACTTGTATTTAGTCTCATTGCCGATAAATTGGGCATTTGAGTTTGACACTGCTTCTCACATGTGAGTTATCAAACAATAATTTTCTTTTAACAACCAATTTGTGCTCTAATACCATTTAGTTTTCATTAATGGTCATCTCACTCATCACTTAATGAGAATAAGTTTTGGACTAAGTGTAAATGAGGTTTCACCATCCTAATGTCAATTAGTTATAGGTGGAGTGCATAGCCCACAATTTTATACTACCTCTGTTTTTTTAGTTTACACATTTTGACTTAACTACTATTCATACACTTCTCTTTGACCGTGTTTTGTGATTTAATCGTAATGATGAAAAATATAGTCATGTGAGATTTTATTAGATTCGTCACGATACATACTTTCAAAATATCAACTTTTTATAATTTTTGCTTATCAGTAATTAAAGATATCAATGGTTAAATTTATGCATTAGTAAATGTGACTAAAGAAACATGTCAATTAAAAAGAAACTGTATGAATCATCATTACTCTTCTTTAATTAATTAATGTGTGACGATTTATCCCACGTTAAAAATATTGAAATCTTTTACCTTGATAAACATAAAAACGTTTATCTATTGATTATTTGATCAATCAAGTGACAATTTCATAATAAATGAAAACTAAAAAAATCTAAAAATCAAAATGATTAAATGTATACTGAAGGCGTCAAATGTTTGTGATTACGTTGGATTTTTTGTACTAAAATTCAATAAAATTGGATTTCGGAAAGTTTGCAAACCATGCGTGAAGATTTAAACCACATAATTCAGGTGAAGAGTCATAGATAACCCTAATTGACATATGCATGAATGACAGAATGATACCTTAGCTGCTTGATGTGATTATATTAGCGGAGATTTCTTGTTTGCTTTTGAATAGTGGAACGTGATCCAATTAAAGAAAATTGGTTTGGCATTAAAATCACAATATAATTTAGTTTAAAATTCAAGCATAAATAAAAGTGGGGTTATAATCAAAAGTCTTAAGACATGCAGTTAAAAAGCTATATAGAGTGTGTTCCATTCACTAGATTAGAATTCAACTAAATTATTCTGAACTTACAAAACTTACTCGAACTTATTCTAATAATTGTAGGCTCAACTTCGATAACTCTCATGCATCAACCTTGAACTTATTTAAACCTTTCTCATTTTCTTGATTTTATATTTTATCTATTTAATTTGATCATAAATTTTTTAAAATAAGTGAAAATAACTTAAATCGAATAAGGTCTTAGATTATGTTCAAAAAAAAAAATAAAAAATAAAAAAATAAAAACGTTTGGAATATTATATTGTTGTAATGTGGTGATATGTAAAACTATATCTATACATTAGAGAATTAACCAGATGCAAGGCATAAATTATTGTTCAATTCAATAACTTGTTCATATATTAGGATCTTATCCCTTGGAATTTATTATTATTATTTTTTTTTCTAATTTTTGACAGCCATCCCTTGGAATTTAGATTATGACAGTTCTTATTCTTAAAAATATGTGTCAAAAAACGCTTAAAATATGTAAAATTTCACATGTTTTTCAATCAATAAAGATATTATCCATGTAATAATTACATGTGGCACATAATAAGCCTTCTTGCCAACGGATTTGCTAGGGAATATCGAAACCACTTGTAGGAAATTACTCATACTAGTAACAAATTTCGAGCATGATCGAACGAATTACTTAAAAATTTTCCGAACATTTAAACCATCTTTCATGGTTCTTATGATAATTCAACTTTTTTAAAGATGTGTGAGAAATTGTTTTCGATGATACTAGTTTCTGACTCAACTACAAACATTGACATGCGTTATAATTTTTTTCTTTCTTTTAAGAAACTCAAATTTGGCAACTTAAGTAGTTTCGCAAAGGTGATCAAAGTTTGAAAAACACCCTAAAATAAAGAGTCGTACTAGATCATGTCTCATTAATTAGCTAGTACAAACTTAGTTTCTCCTAATTAATCGAAGCATTATATTAGCCTACATTTCTTCCGTCAGCTTCTTTCTATTGGCATGTCTCATTTAAGTTTCGGTTGCTTTCCTTAACTCTTGTGACATCATGCGATGACTAGTTGTCTTAATGTTGTCGAAATTGAGGTGTTAATTTGTACAAATGTAGTTAAATTGATGTCAATGATTATTGCATATTTGCATTTAAATTAAGGCTAGTGTCATGAATATAATTGTCCTAAATATATTAAATTAAGAGCTGAAAATATAATAAGAATGATGTTTATTGTTTTTGTAAGTATCAATGTGCTAGTGTGAGATGAGTAAGAGCGGATAATTCCAATATAATATATTTGATTTTGTTTAATTTTGCGCTATGCTTAAAATCTACTCTGTATGTAATATAATATAACACCTAAAATTACTATTAAATACGAGTATATGACACTATAATGGGTCCAATTGAAACTTTCAAATTCTCGATAACTTCGGACCAGATTCATCAAGATTGATTGTTGACTGTACAAAAGATAAAACTCTAAGCTAAGACATACACATTTTTCCTCGATTCAAAATTTTCATAGAATTTATTGTCACTCTCAATATCGATAAAACATTTCACCAGACAAATTGACAATATAAATCCAAACAATTATCACTTCAATGAGTTCAATTCCTATATACTCCGGGAAAGAAAAATCCTTGGTAAATTCTTTTGTTTTCTACCACCCTAACTAAAATAATCAATATTTGTTTAATATTTGGGAATAGAAATGACAGAGAATTTTTAGGTATAAGTTCACTTGACAAGGTCGTCAATTTTATATTATTGAACAACTAAATCTCAAGTCTATCAATCGATTAAAATTATATACCTCAAATTATAAATATATATATATATATATATATATATATATATATATATATATATATATATATATTATGGTATTATACGGGGCCCAAGGTATAACAACCCTACTAACAAAGCAACTCCATATGCATCTAGACCCAGAAATATAATTAATAATTATAATACGAATGTGACAGCAGCAAGATTACAAAATGAGTACATGAAAACTGCAAAATTGTAGAATGTTAGGATTTGTATTTATATTATATGAGTACTAATCAAGGTGTATATATAATTGTATAAATATATGCGATTCAATTTGTATATATTTTGTAGGGTAGTCCATGTTATGAGTTAATTATTTAATAGAGCTAGTCCAATTTTAAATATATGATCAGTCTTAAAAATTATAATCATTAACAGTACTTCTTAAGTTCTTAAAGAAGTGTAATTAATTACAACTTGATTAATAATAATAATAATAATAAAGATATCACAAAGTACGTAGTATTATATGTATAGAAAATGTGATCGACTTTTCTTAGATAAATACTATATGAAAAGAGTGGTATTTTTTTGGGAGACATAAGACAAAAATTTTAAAAATAATAAATGTTAAAAATTGGTGTTTGACCAAGGATTATAGTAGTGATTAGGGTATTTAGG